CCAGCGGGTCGAGGCTGCGGTGGCCGGGAGCGGCCACTGCACTCCAGTCTGGGTGACAGAGTGAGACTCCAACTCAAAAAAAAGAAGTTATTAATTGGTCTTCAGAGCCTGTGGATTCCATAAGAGATAAAGGTAGTGCTTACCTCGTCTATTACCTTATTCCTTTCCAAACAGATGAGGTTATGGCTCAGACTCTGAGAGGTAACAGCAAGAGAATGTGGTCATCCTCCTCCTTTCTTTGTGCTCCCAAAAAGAGGACTATAGCTCCTGGGACCAAAAGAACGGCTGGTCTCGAAACAGCCCTGATTCAGTGAGACAGGTCTGTCAGCACCAAAGCCATGGACAGCGCCACCGTCACTCTGAGGACTTGCTTCCCATGACCCTCTCAACCTACTAGATAAAGCCCCAAATGTAAAGACAAATCAAAATCAGCAAAATAACATGAAACAATAAAACCAATCCCTCGAGCGCCGTCCACCATCCACGTGGCCATATCTCCACTCCCATCCACTCCTCAAATCTGTCTGTCCCTCCTTTTCTCACTAAAACTCTTTTTTTGTTACTTATTTGGTGGTGTGCTGGCCAAGCATCGAAGAGATGGCACAAAGAACTGTGAAAGCTGGGAAAGGCATCATTCTTGCTTTGTGTCCTGGGCTGAGGAACGTTTTCACAGAGAAGGCAGCAACCTCACAGAGCAGGGTTCCAAGGGATGTGAAGGAGTCTGGTCGGTGGAGAAGTGGGGAAGACGGAGGCAGAGGAAACAGCCATGGCACAAAGGCAGAGCGGTCTGAGCGTGTGTTGTGAGTAAGGAGGAGGGTCCAAGAGACAACCACAGCGGAAGCCGACACGGCAGTGGCCAGAGATGGTTCTGGAATGGGAGGCGGCCGTCACTGTGGACGTTTTTCACACCAGGCCCAGCACTTGGCCTGCTCCTTGGTGTGTCGAGGGGCGCCCTCAATGCTGGTGGGCAGAAGAGTGACCAGTCTTATTTCCGCTCCACTGGGAATGCAGGCACACAAAATTAGACTAATTAGGAGGATGGTTTTATGCTACACTCAAGATCACATGTATGTGGCTTGTTTTCTTTCCTTCTACTTTCCTCTTTCATTCACTTCTTTTATTCCTTCTTTTCCTCTTCTTTCTTTTTATTCTCACCGGTAGGTTTTATTTTCTTCTAGAGCAGTTTGAAATTTACAGAAAAATTGGGCAGAAAGTACAAAGGTTTCCCATGGTGCCTTCACTCAATCATACCCCACAGTTTCTAGCATCTTATATTCCTGCGGCACATTTGTTACACTTGATGAGTCAATACTGACACGTTATTAGTCTGCGGTTTGTATTAAGGTTCACC